GACAAAATAAGTTGTATGCATTTCACAGAACAAGTCCTAAGGTTTTCTTTTAGTGTGCTTTCAGGGTACATTTTCCACCTCATGAAAGAGCTACATTACCTGCTAATTGACTCATGCAATTCTGCACATGTGAAAACCGGAAGTTTTTGGAGTTATCTCCCCTTATTAAAAAGTCTCATAATTTTTTTTTTCTAAAAATGAATGCACATTTTTTTCTTTAAATATTAAGATAAGATTCTACTTTATGTGAATAAAAACAAAAATGATGCAGTTTTCATCTAGACTCCTATAAATAGCAGGAAAATCCCTACCCAGCATGCTTCTCTCTGGGGAAAACCCCCTGGATTTTATACGAAACTGTGTTTAGCTACCTTAAAGGAAATAATTTTTTTTTGCAATTCACTTTTTTGTATTTAGGTGCAAAGAGGACAGAATTCCAAACAATTTGGTGCATAAATTGTTGAATTTGGTCCAGAAATGGGCAAGTAATTGTAAATTTAGTATTACATGTCTACGACATCGGTCGACGCATGAAACAGGACTTCGAAGAGAAATTCAAACCTAACCGAATCATCTCACACAGTAATTTTATTTTTCTTCAATTTAAAAAACTCAAAGTATGAAATATACAGTATTTGAATATCAATAAAATGTTACATTATAAATTTTTTGAAAAGCTGCCAAACATTTTTTTACAGATATTGCTAGTTTCTGTATAAACAAGGGGGGGGGGTCTAATTGGAAATAGTCACTGTCTTAAATCAGAAGATTGCCTCAAAAATCTGGACGGTGTCACCCTAACTAGATACTCAATAGTTCTATGTCACATGTATATCTATACAGAAGATACATATTCTCATTTGCGATCAATTAAATTGAAGGTCATGACCTTGCGAAGCTTCCATTTTTGACATGACGTCACACTTTGATGTCACAATGCAGTTGCGTCATAATGTAAAATAACAACTTTAGCCCCTGAATCCTTATCATATGTATAAATTCTATGGAACATGTATCTAATAGGCATTATGCCTAATACAGTGTCAACTTGAGATTATATTGTATGGTTAACTACAGAAATTAAAACAAATAAAGCAATTTTCTATGAACTTACATGCAAATAAATGTGGGAAATGTCATCAAATGCTACTCCTTAAGGGTGCAAAACACAGTTTTATGTATGACGTTATCAGGACGTTACTTGGTGAGGGACAAGCAAAACTGACCCCTTTAAAAAAATAAAATGGAGGCTTGTTACATAGACTTCTGCATATCAATGGAAAGATAAAATTGTGAATTTTGTAAATATCCAACTATAATACATTCATCAATTACTACTAGGGGGTATTTGACACCTGAAATATGGGGGATATTGGGTTGTTTATGCATCCATTTTCAGTGCACCTATGCATTTTTAACCCCCCTGCTCAACAAAAACAGAAAAAATCAGACAAAATAAGTTGTATGCATTTCACAGAACAAGTCCTAAGGTTTTCTTTTAGTGTGCTTTCAGGGTACATTTTCCACCTCATGAAAGAGCTACATTACCTGCTAATTGACTCATGCAATTCTGCACATGTGAAAACCGGAAGTTTTTGGAGTTATCTCCCCTTATTAAAAAGTCTCATAATTTTTTTTTTCTAAAAATGAATGCACATTTTTTTCTTTAAATATTAAGATAAGATTCTACTTTATGTGAATAAAAACAAAAATGATGCAGTTTTCATCTAGACTCCTATAAATAGCAGGAAAATCCCTACCCAGCATGCTTCTCTCTGGGGAAAACCCCCTGGATTTTATACGAAACTGTGTTTAGCTACCTTAAAGGAAATAATTTTTTTTTGCAATTCACTTTTTTGTATTTAGGTGCAAAGAGGACAGAATTCCAAACAATTTGGTGCATAAATTGTTGAATTTGGTCCAGAAATGGGCAAGTAATTGTAAATTTAGTATTACATGTCTACGACATCGGTCGACGCATAAAACAGGACTTCGAAGAGAAATTCAAACCTAACTGAATCAGCTCACACAATAATTTTATTTTTCTTCAATTTAAAAAACACAAAGTATGAAATATACAGTATTTAAATATCAATAAAATGTTACATTACAAATTTTTTTGAAAAGCTGCCAAACAATTTTTTACAGATATTTCTAGTTTCTGTATAAACAAGGGGGGGGGTCTAATTGGAAATAGTCACTGTCTTAAATCAGAACATTGCCTCAAAAATCTGGACGGTGTCACCCTAACTAGATACTCAATAGTTCTATGTCACATGTATATCTATACAGAAGATACATATTCTCATTTGCGATCAATTAAATTGAAGGTCATGACCTTGCGAAGCTTCCATTTTTGACATGACGTCACACTTTGATGTCACAATGCAGTTGCGTCATAATGTAAAATAACAACTTTAGCCCCTGAATCCTTATCATATGTATAAATTCTATGGAACATGTATCTAATAGGCATTATGCCTAACACAGTGTCAACTTGAGATTATATTGTATGGTTAACTACAGAAATTAAAACAAATAAAGCAATTTTCTATGAACTTACATGCAAATAAATGTGGGAAATGTCATCAAATGCTACTCCTTAAGGGTGCAAAACACAGTTTTATGTATGACGTTATCAGGACGTTACTTGGTGAGGGACAAGCAAAACTGACCCCTTTAAAAAAATAAAATGGAGGCTTGTTACATAGACTTCTGCATATCAATGGAAAGATAAAATTGTGAATTTTGTAAATATCCAACTATAATACATTCATCAATTACTACTAGGGGGTATTTGACACCTGAAATATGGGGGATATTGGGTTGTTTATGCATCCATTTTCAGTGCACCTATGCATTTTTAACCCCCCTGCTCAACAAAAACAGAAAAAATCAGACAAAATAAGTTGTATGCATTTCACAGAACAAGTCCTAAGGTTTTCTTTTAGTGTGCTTTCAGGGTACATTTTCCACCTCATGAAAGAGCTACATTACCTGCTAATTGACTCATGCAATTCTGCACATGTGAAAACCGGAAGTTTTTGGAGTTATCTCCCCTTATTAAAAAGTCTCATAATTTTTTTTTTCTAAAAATGAATGCACATTTTTTTCTTTAAATATTAAGATAAGATTCTACTTTATGTGAATAAAAACAAAAATGATGCAGTTTTCATCTAGACTCCTATAAATAGCAGGAAAATCCCTACCCAGCATGCTTCTCTCTGGGGAAAACCCCCTGGATTTTATACGAAACTGTGTTTAGCTACCTTAAAGGAAATAATTTTTTTTTGCAATTCACTTTTTTGTATTTAGGTGCAAAGAGGACAGAATTCCAAACAATTTGGTGCATAAATTGTTGAATTTGGTCCAGAAATGGGCAAGTAATTGTAAATTTAGTATTACATGTCTACGACATCGGTCGACGCATGAAACAGGACTTCGAAGAGAAATTCAAACCTAACCGAATCATCTCACACAGTAATTTTATTTTTCTTCAATTTAAAAAACTCAAAGTATGAAATATACAGTATTTGAATATCAATAAAATGTTACATTATAAATTTTTTGAAAAGCTGCCAAACAATTTTTTACAGATATTGCTAGTTTCTGTATAAACAGTGGGGGGGGGGGGGGGGGTCTAATTGGAAATAGTCACTGTCTTAAATCAGAAGATTGCCTCAAAAATCTGGACGGTGTCACCCTAACTAGATACTCAATAGTTCTATGTCACATGTATATCTATACAGAAGATACATATTCTCATTTGCGATCAATTAAATTGAAGGTCATGACCTTGCGAAGCTTCCATTTTTGACATGACGTCACACTTTGATGTCACAATGCAGTTGCGTCATAATGTAAAATAACAACTTTAGCCCCTGAATCCTTATCATATGTATAAATTCTATGGAACATGTATCTAATAGGCATTATGCCTAATACAGTGTCAACTTGAGATTATATTGTATGGTTAACTACAGAAATTAAAACAAATAAAGCAATTTTCTATGAACTTACATGCAAATAAATGTGGGAAATGTCATCAAATGCTACTCCTTAAGGGTGCAAAACACAGTTTTATGTATGACGTTATCAGGACGTTACTTGGTGAGGGACAAGCAAAACTGACCCCTTTAAAAAAATAAAATGGAGGCTTGTTACATAGACTTCTGCATATCAATGGAAAGATAAAATTGTGAATTTTGTAAATATCCAACTATAATACATTCATCAATTACTACTAGGGGGTATTTGACACCTGAAATATGGGGGATATTGGGTTGTTTATGCATCCATTTTCAGTGCACCTATGCATTTTTAACCCCCCTGCTCAACAAAAACAGAAAAAATCAGACAAAATAAGTTGTATGCATTTCACAGAACAAGTCCTAAGGTTTTCTTTTAGTGTGCTTTCAGGGTACATTTTCCACCTCATGAAAGAGCTACATTACCTGCTAATTGACTCATGCAATTCTGCACATGTGAAAACCGGAAGTTTTTGGAGTTATCTCCCCTTATTAAAAAGTCTCATAATTTTTTTTTTCTAAAAATGAATGCACATTTTTTTCTTTAAATATTAAGATAAGATTCTACTTTATGTGAATAAAAACAAAAATGATGCAGTTTTCATCTAGACTCCTATAAATAGCAGGAAAATCCCTACCCAGCATGCTTCTCTCTGGGGAAAACCCCCTGGATTTTATACGAAACTGTGTTTAGCTACCTCTGCTTGTCGGAGTTTACGGAGACAGCCGAGCGTCTGGTTGAACGAGACTACATTTTAACCGGAAATAGGAAGTACTTTACGGTTGTCTTCACTATTTACAAAACGAAAAATGTTTTTACTTTCTTTTTATAACTTTTTTGCACAACTAACACAATTTACCACCTATACATAATACAATGTATATTTGACTTTATTTTCTATATACCCTATGAGGCTAACTATTCTCAAATTAACAAGAGTTTGAATATTTTCGTTTTATTAAATATATTCTTGATTTGTTCCACGTGCATTTGTTGTGCTAAAGAGAGCAAAATGATTACTCAAAACATTTGCTTATCTTGGTCATAATCAGGTAAACACAAATTAATTACTCTCTATAAAAACCCTTACAAGTTTGTTACGTATTGTCTGTGATTTTAGTCATCAGAATTACCCGGTCAAACTGGTTTTAATAACTGATTTTTACAAATACAAATACCAGCTGAATACTTTATTGGCACAAACACAATTACAATAATTGGCAAAGGCCCACTGAACATCATTAAATAATAACGTTTACATAATTTTTTTCAAGATTTGTCAAGTAATTGACTTCTAAGTTCAAAACAGTCTCTGATAAATTTAACAGTAACTTTCAAGACTTTAACATGTTTTACATGTTTAACCAAATAGTGAATACTATAATTTTAACCAGAGACACAAATATTTCTGTCTCTGTTTTCACATAAGATATCGAACTCCAAATTAATACTCAGTCAATACTGGTGGCAATTTAGGGGGTAGTGATTTTAGAATATATGCAAGGCATCCCAGCCTAGCTTAGAGGATCGATTCATTTGACCGTCTCGTAATTTTTTTTAATTTATTGTGTAAAACAATGTTCAATTCTCATGACATCCTGATTTGCTTGCATATTTGAAAGAAAGTAAATTGATTATGGTAGGTGTCTAATTAAACATTTTGAATGAGTGCAAATTGTTAAAAAAAATATTGGGGGGGAAAATCCCCCTGATCTATCTCAAGTATAGAATCAGTCCTTAGAAGTGGAACAAAAAAAATCTAACAAGGTGCAGTTTTCGATTCTAATTTCTTCTTTTCTTGCACATTAGTCTGTAGATGATAGAACTTCCTACATATGAGCAAACTTCACCTGCTCATCATTTCTGATAACATTGTTGGAATCTGATAACATATTATAATCATTTTTGTTGCTTTTTCGTTGCTCAGAAATCACATAAATTAAATATGAATTACAATCATGGCAAAAAATGCAAGATTAACTAGATAATATAATTCTCTTTGTTTAAATTCTGATTAATGCAAGCTTAAAATTCTAATATGTTTATTTTCCTTAATCTATGTACTAAATAAAAAGTTTTTCATTTATATGAACAGATTATGAAATGAAAATGGACTTCCTGACAGTGAAGGACATAGCTGCAGAGTCTATTAGTTCTATTAAACTCATAGAACTGTTGGTGAAGCAGGTTAAAAAGAAAAAAGACAACAAAATAGATCCAGAATTCTGTGATCTCTTGTATTTACTGGAAGGCATCATCTCAACAGAACAAGATGTGGACACTAATTGCATTCATAGAGTTTTAGATGAGGTGTGCCTCCCACTCTTGTTTAAGATTCATCCCTCATATGACAGTAATGTAGAGAATGTAGCTCTGCTGACATCAGTTAGCTCCCTTTGTGGGGCGTGTCTATTGAAGGCTGAGGAGACCAGGGTGACTGATTTGATTGACCAGTGTTTGCGGATTTTGACATCTTACAGTCAGGGGGCTGATTGGATATCCGAGGACGGAGAGTCCATGGACATCTATTGCTGTTTGTCAGTTTTACAGCATATGTCCAAACATAGGGTAAACCAATTCTTAACTTCTATACAGAGCAAACTCCTAAAGGCATACTTCTGTGTTGTTCATTCTATAAAGTGTATGCAGGACAATTTACTCATAAACATGGCATTAAATTTCCTAAAGAATATGATGAATATATGTATCAGTGAAAATTTTGATAAACTTTCAGCTGTCTGGGAATTAATTTGCAAAGAGTTTGATGAAGGGAATGAAAAGCCATACATTTTACTTTGTGGTATGGCTGGCCATTTCTTTCCTGTGGTGAATGACACTGTAGTTTTTGATCTGAAATGTAAGGATGACTTCTGGAGAATAATTCAGCAAGGAGTAAGTCGAAAATCACCCTCCTCCCGGAAACAAACGATGTACCTGTTGAAGAGGGTGACTGACATCTGTCATTCCTGTAACATTAGTGTTCAAAGTGAAACCTTGTTCCACTGGAAACCAGAAGACAATTTGATGGAGCTCTGGGAGGACTATATACTAATTCTAGAAACCTTGGAAGAAAAACAGGTTAGTTTAGTAATCTTTATTGTGAAAATGATGAGCAGATTTAATGTGCATTGTTATTCAGTTCCTAGAAGCAATTGAAGCACTTAGTTTCTTTAAAATACTTGAGGAATTTATTATCACTAGAAGCATCATTCATGAAATAAAATTTCTCACATATTTTGTATATTATGTAGTCTTCTTGCAATTTCCTGTTCTTACCATTAGACATCATTGAATTGAGATGTTTCATGATGAGGATTTTTTATCATTTAAAATTTTCTATTGAAATTTTGCTTAGAAAAAGAATTTTGAAAAAAAAATTTTCTATATGCCTTTATTTTCATGTACTAATGGCGTGATTTTATAAGTGTAAAACATGCATAGAGTACTTTAGGCAATATTTTCATTGATATTTGACGTTCTCTCCTGCAGGTTCACATCATTAAACCAGTGCTTCCCAGATTATCTAAACTCATAAAAGCAACACAGATTGATCAGAATGGTATGTTAAGTAGTTTTCCTTTTCTAACAATTTTTTTCACAATTTAACATGTGAATATAAATTATAAAAAAAAATTGATTGTTTCTGTCACAGGTCAAGGAGCTCTACATTCATCCTGGCTTACAGGCATTTTCAGGAGACTTCTGATGCATGAGAATATCTTTATTGTGAGGTATACTGTGGATGTAATTCTAAAATTAGACCTCCGGTTTTGTCCAATGCTGAAACAAGGCCAGGAGAAGGTAATAATTATTAATGACTGAAGTTATTTGAAGAATTGGTTGAACACTGATGTAAGGAAAGCAGTAGAGCACCTAAAAGTTTAATTTGTTTCTTGGACCAATTCAAAGACAATAGCATTTCTAATTTCTCAAATATAAGAAGATTAGGAGTGACTTTTTGTGATATAATGACAAGATATCTATACAACATAAACATACAAACCATTTTGTGTTTAGTACCTATGTGAAGAGTTTTTGCTGTCCCTACAAGAGCCAAAACTGTTTGTCAGACAAGAGGGGTCCCCAGCAGGATCCAGTCTCACTTGTTGTGAGGCACTGGCAGGGTTCTTCCAAAACTGTTGGCAAGTCCTGGACAATCCATCTGCACAAAGTAAGTCTAGATTTCTGCTAAAATATGTAGATTGCAATTGTGAAAAAAAAATCCAAGAATTTTTTCTGCGAACATTTCTACACATTTTCGACTTGTTAACTGTATAGATAAGATTTAAGATGAACACTTGTTTACATTTGATATGAAATAAATGTTAGTTTACTGTATAGAAAATATATTATCCAAATGAGCTGTGTATATGTGATAGAAACGAACCAGAGCAATAAGTATTTATTGTGGCTTTACCCACTTTGACTCTTTTTCAGCATCTTTCTTCAGGAGAATCCTGACAACAATTGTAGACAACACTTGGAGCCCAGTGCCCTTATTAATGATTTTTGAGGCTCTGTCAAAAACTCCAGCTACTCCTATCTTGGATTCAGCTGGACTTCAAGATTTCAAGTAATATTATTTCTCCATTCAGTTCAGAAACTTTTTACAGATGGTACAGATTGAACAAACAAGGTGTTCCATATTTTACTTTTATTCCAAGTCCGAAAGTATTAGTCTTAGATAATACTTTATCTTCTCTGGGGCACACTTTAATATATCAAGCCTTATATGATAAAGATTTTTTTTTAATTCAATTTTTTTTTTACAGAAATGGTGTAACTGGTGAGACAAGAACCTGGGACAGTTTTACTAGAGGGGCCATGTTGTGCTTCTGTGGAAAGATTCTTCTGAATCTTATAAACATTGTAATTTATTCGTTGTCAAAAGTTCAAAGATCTGAATTAAAAAAGTGTCATGTGTACAAATGGAAGAAAATAAGTATTTCATGTTTTTATCATTTTATTTTCCAGGAAAAAGTTCAGCCTCTTGAATTTTTCTTCACCCTCACCATGTTCACTAGAAGTGAGAGTCTGTGTAGAGGAACTTGTTTTTGGAAGGAGGTTTCTGATTGGCTAAAGACCATTACAAATCTTGGACTCAAGAATTGGACTGCAGATGACATCAAATCATGCATCAGAAACCAAACTGTAAAGCTACTGACCATCAAAGAGGGTTTGTATTTCAAGACATTCAACTGAGTACCTTTTTACCTACAATGAGAAAACTTCTAATGGAATTAAAGAAATTTTATCAAAATTTTTTTACGTGTTCTCAGTTTTTTTCCAGTTACTTATAAATAAACATTTAAAAAAGAAATTTGCATAAACTATATTTTATTTAATATTATTTTATTACAGACAGTGTTACAGATGAAGGAGACATTTTGATGATGAGTCGTCTGATACTGTTGTCTGTGGATGCAGACATCCTGCCACTGAGGACTTCCTCTGAAGAGGAGACATATTCCCTGACACACACACTACAATCACTGACTAAGATCATCAATGATTTCCCTACCCATCCCTACATGTCATCAGTCAAGGTGGAAAAAGCACTGGAATTAATGGTGGGCCTTATGGCAGAAGTTGGAGATTCATTAGGTAAAGACCTCAAAGACATGTTCAATAAAACGTGTCAATTACAGCAAACATGCTTATAAAGAATTCATGGGTATGGCAAATTGATTTCATTCTTTATAATAGTAATTAAAGCTTTAAGATGTACCAGTATTATGAACTTTCCAGAAATAAATGTGTTCATAATGACTCAAAATTTCCCATCCATGGCACTTGACTATAAACAATTTTTGCTGTAAGCCATTTTTAAGGATTTGTCCGATTCCCTCTTACCTCAGTAAATCTGTTGTTTGATGAAGTGGTGATCAGTACCATGAGATTACTGGTAAATAAACTAGTGCATTTAATTTATACAGGCATTATCTAGAACACTTAAAACTACTTTTTTAAACAATTTTTTTCTCTATTACATGGAAGTCCTGTATAATTTCAGAAGATGAAGTCAGCCAATTTATGAAGTCTTTCATGAACGCAGCAGCTGTATCAGGAATCCTATTTATACAGCAGCAGCTCACAGAGGGATGGAAACAAGTGAGTATAGAATCTGTCTATAATGTTTTAAAATACATTTACATGTATCTTGGCTTTGGAATATTTTTTTACTAATATTTTTTTAAGATGAGTGATCTCCCTTCAGTAAACCTTTGCTGTGATGCACTGTCATTGGTTGTGAGCAAGTCATTTGATGCTAATGTTGGAGAAGCAACAAAACAATTGTCTGGGAGATGTTTTCATTTTCTGCACACTTTGAAACAGGTATGAAGGAGAAACTGCAGAATTTTGTTGTCCCCTAAGATTAATAATAAAATTAAAGGGTATTAAATGAAAATGTATCCTCTATTTTGAATTGTTTTTAAGAGGTATATTTTTAGCTACATGTTAATTCTGGTTTTTAACTTTGACAGGACAGTGTAGAACAGCAGATTAAGCGGCTGGGAGCTAGTATGATATTGGGAACGATTGCCCAGCATGTCACGGATCAGAAGCTACTAAGACATTTACTCACACAGGTCCAGTCTTCAGCCTCATTTATTCCAGCCACATTTATAAAGCCCCACTCTGATACCTGTATTAGGTAAAACTTTACTTAAGTATGCAAAGCAGAATTCAGAGGTTGGTCATGCTGAATTAAAATTCCTAAAATTTAGTCAGTGCCTCAGATAAATGAAATTAGTTTATTTACTTTTTAGTTCTTTTTTACTCTTAGTATTAATTTTGTAGCCATATTGACTTATGCTGAGGTATTTGATTTAATATTTATTATTCTTGGTCATTAATAGCCAGAAAGAATGGGGAAGAATGGCATCAGACTTCATGACCAGCCAATGGCAAATTGTCCTTTTCCTCTTAAAGAATTCCAATCCATGCAACTCCTTTGTCACTATTGAGAAGTGTTTGGAATACTTGGCAGTCAGTTCAGGGGAGGCCACGATTATCATCTTCAGTTGTATCAAGCTCCTTTTGCCAATGGTACGTTGTTATTCTCTCTACTATTAATATCAATTTTAGATATTTCATAAATTGCAACATTCCTCTAAATTTTGACATTTTTTAACAAAATAGTGCTAAAATTTTTGCAAAATAATAGTACCTAATGACAGAATATTTGTTACCATTCTTTGCTGAAGATGGAATTGTTGTAAGGAAAATAAAGTGATAAATCAATTGTAAAGTTATCTTCTCTTAGCATTTGAGGAAGGTTCTAATAATATTTATTGTCACAATTATTGCAAGCATGTAAGAAAAAAAGTTATTTTCTTATGTACCTCTTACTGTTTTTCAGAAGGTAGATGAAGGAAAACTAGACACAGTAGTAGAAGTGCTTAGAATCACATGGGCTTATCTAAAGGAACGCCAAGGAAAAGGGACCAGTTACTGGCAGTACTTAGAGGCTTACACAGAAATGGCCTTCCAGAGAGCCCTGACCACACAGTCTAAGGACTCTCCTGTTACACATCAACTCTTACAAGTACACGAACTATTCAAGGGACTTAGACACAGATTTTAATTTCATATCATAACTCTACAATAACATGACTGTTGCAAGAGCATTTCAGTTTATATTAATGTATTATAAAAGCATGATTTAAATCTAAAAATTAAAAAAAATCCCTAAAATCCGTGCATTTATAAAAAATATTAAAAATGTATAAGCAGTAAAAATCAGAAAAGAGATTGAAAAAAATAGAATCAACCACCAAAGTTACTTGATGTGAGCTGTGTTAGGTAATAAGCACACCCAATAAAACATTAACACTAACAGAGCTATAGGCCATGCCAGTGTTTACAAACACAATTGTCTAAAGTAAGGTTATAACGTATGCTGCTCTCACTGAATATTTAGAATTTTCATGTTAGTTCAATTCATTTAACTGAAGTCATTTTACAATAATAAGAGTTACATGCATTAAAGCAAGAAATGTACTTATTTGAACTTATAAGACTATTTAAAAAAAATAACACTTTGATATTCAAAGAAAATAAGTCTGTGTATGTTACTTAAGAAAAAGTTGGATTTTTAAAAAAAAGTTTAAATGGACCAGTTTTTATTTCTTTGTACCTAAGATGTTGGTCTTTAATAGATTAGTGATGACCTTATGGAGACTGGTGAAGAGAAAAGCGGGGTAGTAAATGTGTTGTTAAATCGTTTGATCAGAGACTGCCCCGTTCCAATGGAGAATTTCCTTCCAGTCCTTGTCCAATGCTGTATGTTTGGACCTGTCTACAAAAAACAGGATAAGTAAGTTGATGAAACAGGGGGAGCGTTTAAAAATTTCAGTTGAATATTATGTTTAAATATCAAAATTTCAAAAAACAAAAGGTTGATGCATTAGTAGGGGTGCTTAGCATTACATCCAGTGATAGATTCTGAACTGAAAACAATATGCAATGGTAACAGAATTTGGTGAAGCAATATTTTTATTTTAAGACTATTAAACTTTTACAATACAATATAGAAAGTTTCATGATTTCAGTTCTTTTGTTGCTGTACATAATATTGTTTTGTTTTTTTTTACCTGAATTGTAGACAGTTGATTGATGTGTTCAGCTACATATCATCTTTAGGATCCAAATTAACCAGCAATGAACTCCAACCTTGGTAAGAATACAAGGGTGAACTAACCTTTTGTAACTAATTTGTGTTCTAATCAGAAGCATTTTTAATACCAGTAATTGACATCTCTGTGTATATATCTTGTGATCTATTAGGAAACAGAATGAAAAACACTTTTACTTGCTTTAAAATCAAATAGCTGACATTTTGTTAATTGAATTTCTCAAGGAATAGATAACCCAATCATGTAATAAATGTTAAGTTAATCTAGTCAATGGTCAAAGGTAAAACTGAACTTGGATATTAATCACTTAGTAGCAGGAAAAACATTGAAGTAAATATTCTCTAATAAAATTATGATCAGATGAAGATTAAAACTATGAATTAAATTGCTCTTAATTGATATTAGAATGCATTTTTCACAATTATTTTCTACAATGAAATAAAGTTGATACTTCTTATTAATATTTTCACAAGATTGGGATGGGGGCCTACCTGGTATATGTAACTAAAACTTTTATTGCTATGTCTTCATTCCTGGTCTCCTTGGTTTCTTTTAGGTTTCCCAAGAATCTGATGGTGAAAGTCAGACTTGTAGAATTCCTGTGTCATTTAGATCCTCAGAACTCCCTCCATAACAGCTTTGGACACCTCCTCTTGTCAGCTATATTTAAGAAATACCTGGACTTGGTGACAATATCCAGTGGGAACACTTATAGCAACTCGTTACCACATCGTCAGAAAAACAGACTGATGCAGTGTGTGTTGCTCTTAGAACCATTTATTTCACAGGTCAGTCATCAAATTATTACGGGTGTTTGGGAAAAAAATTGACATCGTTTAATTTCATCTTCGTATTTCTTCTTTGATTAATCAGCAAGAAGTAAAAGATGATAAGATTGACTGTATTGTAAAGTTTATTTATAGAGAATACAGTGAAGCTCGTTTAGAATTTACAGATATAGTGAAGTCATTTTGGATCCCCCACTATATTTTAATGAATTTCATATACGGTTATAACGAATTACGGATATAGCGAAGTAATTTCAAAGGTCCCAGTGACTTCGTTATAACCGAGTTTTGCTGTAAACAGATATATACAGTATATATAGGCCTATACATGTAGTAAAATAAATTTCATTCTTAGTATAAATATTTTCATTTCAGACAGAAAGTGAGCTTATATTTTCCCAGCTGATTGATTTTCTCAGTGTAGAGATGCAGCCCTCTGTAAGACATTACCAGGAGTGGGCATGCATGCGGCTTATTGGTCGATTTCCAAACCTTGTATCAAATTTGTGGTCAGCATTTGCTGTGGTATGTTTTGTTTTTCATTTCATCCAGTGTACATAATGCACAAAAAAATTTACAAATTCACAGTTACACTCCACACAACTATACAGATTGTAAGAAAGAAAGCATTTTGAAATTGCTATTTCATTGTATGTGTATAGTGTGTACATGTGAAGGTGGCCATCATATTCTTTTGTGGAGAAATTTAATGATTTCAATATTTGAACATTATGGTAATCATGTTTGTATTATCATATTTTCTCACTATCAACAAATGACAATATTCCAGATTCAGAAGAAGAGTACCCCAGGCCTCTCCTCACTAATGTTAATCACTTCTCACATTGGACCTCTGCAAACCACAGCATCTCAGGTAGAATTTTTAGGTCACCTGAGTAAACTCAGGTGACCTATTGATATCCATTTTTGTCTGTCGTCGTACATCGTACGTCGTTCGTAAACTTTTGAACATTTTTAGCTTCTTCTCTACAACCACTGAACCAATTTCAACCAAATTTGGTATACAGCATCTATGGGTGAAGGGGAACAAAAATTGTGAATTTCATGGTCCCTGCCCCCCTGGGGCCTGAGGGGTGGGGCCAAAACCACTAAAATTAGTGCAATCTTTAAAAATCTTCTTCTTTACTCCTGGACATCAAGCAGTCAAACTGTTGACATGATTGTAATGAGCATTGAGTCCTCGACCAAAATTGTGAAATTCATGGCCCCAGGGTCAGGGGTTCTGGTGTTAAGGCGG